GGCCAGTCTGTCTTTTTCACTCAGGAGCTTTGCTTTATGATGTTGGTGTGTCCTGCTGCCTGAGATAAAAGTCAGGTAGTTCTAAGTTCAGGTAACAGAGGTTGCTCAGGATAGGATGATTATAAAATCTGAAAAGAGGAAATGGGGAGAAAGGTGCCTTTGATGCCCGGCCAATGTTCCTGATTACAAAGGCAGAGCTGTAGCAGGCAGTAAAGTTACCTGTCCAAGGCCTGGGTGAAGGTCTGTACGTGGAATCAGAGAACTGAGAGATGATTGCAGGTGGGGGAGGAGGTGGCTGGGAAACAGGAGACAGGAAAGAATTGCTCGCAAGAGTACACACCCCAAAAGGAGGAGATGCCATGGATAAAGACCAGCATTAAGTTTGGGGCTCAGTTGAGCCCTGGAATGCCCTTTGTGAGAAGGTAATGAGATCACATGGCCTCCTTCATGGGAAGGAGGCGGGCTGAGAACTGGAAGAGCTTGTTCAGTGGGGTTTGGAGGGCTGAACACAGGAGGGAAGTGACCGTGGATAATGAGCTGTCCCGGACTGTGCCTTGTGGAACGCTGGCATTCAGAGGCACTGCTGACGACTGCCAAGGGAGGAAGGAGTCAGAAAAGGGCTTTGTCCCTTCCAGGAATAAGAAGGGATTTTATTACTACAGATGCAACAATAAAAACAGCTACCATTTAATGAGCACTTACTGAGTGTCAAGTGTCGGGCTCTGTGTTAGGCACGGATATCTCTTGTCTCTAGTCTTCATGACACTCAGGAGGTATTTCTGGCCCCATTCTGAAAATGAGAAGTATGAGGCTCAGAAAATTCCACTGCTTGCTCAAGTTCACACAGCTCACCAGTGATGAGGTAATAATGTGAATCAATCTTGAGAAAGCAAGGGAATGGGGGGGAAGACAGAGAACAGCTTCGAGAACACGAGGTACAGCACACACACCAAGTGGCAGTCCGCGTGTCTTTACGTAAGGGTGGGAAGTGTGCGTGTCCAAGGCAAGGTAGAGTCAGGCTGTAACTCAGCAGGCTCCTCTTACCTCGCCTCTCATGGCAGCTCCAGCTAGGGCCTTCCAACGTCTCGCCTTCAGGATGACACAGACTAACAGTCCTTAGCCCAGATTTCCATGAGCCTGCACGATGCACTGGACAATAAGCAGACCCATTCTGTTCCACAGCACCTCCTTCTGCCTGGCTTCTCTCATCGCTCTCCCGGTGCCACCACAGGGGAAATTGTGTTTGATCTTTGCTATTAAGAGGTCTTTCAATTCAAGGAGGCAGACGCATCTGTGTCTGTTTTCTTCTTAAGGAGTTCCTTGCCTTCTGACACTTCCCTGAATGAGGGAGCAGAGACAACCTCTGTGCTTCACCCTGAAGAAGACTCACACTGTCAGAAGACAAACACTGCCTTTTGAAGTAATAAATAGAGTCTTGGTTTGGATGGCTTGGGTGGGGGGCATAAAATTAGCATTTCTATTTTGGACATGTGGAATTACAGATGTCTCATTTAAGGTTCTACAAGTAGGGCTCTTGGACATACACATCTGGATTGCATAAGAGGACTAAACTGCAGATATGTAATCAACAGCATCTCCACGGGCGCTTGGGTGAGATCACCCAGGGAGAGCATATAGGATGAAAAGAAAAGAGGGACCAGCACAGATTCCTGAGGGTGCACCGCCACCAATTCAGGGACTCAGGTCTGAGCCCTTTGACGTCAGGAACATATAATTAGGAAAAGACATTTTCTTGGGCCTGGGTAAGGGGGAGGTATCAAGCTTTCTCAAAGTCCAATGGAAATGGTTCAATTATTTAGGTTTTATGTTATTCTACCGTTTTGTTGTTGTGTGCCTTCGAGTCAGAGCCGACCCATAGCTGACCCTCCAACAGGTTTTCAGAGGCAGTAAGTTACATGGGAGGAGATTGCCCATCCTTACTCAGCTGGTGGATTTGAACTCCGTGTCTTTAGGATTACAGTCCAGCTTCCTAACACTAGGCCACCAGAGCTCCCCTACTTCTCTGTACGTCTGCTGATCTCTGATCTTGCTAGTAATTTCTACCTGTAGGCTAATGGTGAAGATGAAAAGTATTGATATGCAAAAATACGTACAGCTACTGCTGGTGCATGGTGTTGACCCAGTGAGTGTAAAAGCAGTTACTATCCTCCTCCTCATTATTAAGATGGACAATGGAGAGTTGAGTCCATTTATTTGGAGTTCCATGGTATTAAGACCCTGGAGTCAGGCAGGATTGGGTTCTAATATTGTGTAACCTTAACTTCTCCAAATCTCAAGCTTTTCTTCTTTAAATGAGACCATAACACTGTAGTAACACCTACATCATAGAAAAATAAGATGTAAAGTCCCTAATGCTGGACCTGGCTATAGTAATAGTTTAGGACCAGAGATTGATGACTGTCACCAGGTTTTTCCATTCCTCTCTTTAGAGGCATCCAGTAACACAGCACTACTGTCTGCTGCTGCTGAGTACCCTGGCTAAGATCTGGGGTTAAGGCTCGAGTGAGACGGAGCTTCTCACGTACTTTGGGCCAAAGGCTAGGGGGGATCAGTCCTTGGAGAAGTACATCATGCTTGGAAAGGTGGAAGGACAGCTTAGGAGAGGAAGACCCCAGCCCAGATGAGATGGATTGACACGGTAACTGGGGTAATGGGGCTAGGTGTGTCAGAGATGGTGAGACTGGCTCAGCATAGGTCAGGACTCAGAGCTATTGTACATGGAGTTGCCATGAGGCACAAGCGACTCAATGGGCACATGACAACAATGAGACTTGGGTGGAAATTCTTCCCAAGCAGTGGACTTCAAGGATGCAATTTGTCCGGCGGGGGAATCACACATTATGTGTTATATTGGTACAGTTACTTCTGACTCCTCTCCAGAGTTTCCTCTCCAGTCCCAGAGGTGGTAGTGGTTGTTACTGTTATATGCTTTCGGGTCAGAACCTGCTCATAACTGACCCTCCAGTGGGTTTTCAGAGGCTGTAAATTGCACAGGAGGAGAAACCACAGAGCAGCTGGTGGATTGAAACTGTGGGCCTTTGAATTGACAGCACAGCTCCTTGCCACCAGGCCACCAGAGGGGCCCCTTTTAAATGCATATTTACCATTCTTTCTCCAAGGACTGACGCCTGCACACCTTCCCAAGTGCATCTTCCTCTCTTTCACTCACTCAGGACTGAGCTGCCTGTAGTCCCCCACCCATCCCTCTATGTTTTGGCACAGGCTGCTTTCTTTGCCAGGTATTTCACCCCATTTTTTTTTTGTTGTTGTTCCCCTGAGGAAACACATACCTATTTATTCTTCAAAGAATTTCTCCAGTCACCTCGTGTGACAACTCTGTCCTTCCACCTGAGATTATTAATCCCTCTTCTTGTGGCCTGAACAAGTGTGCATCATCACGCCATGGAGCCTGTCATATCCATCCCTGAGTCCTCAGCATATTTTCAATGTCTTGTACCAAGTGGGCTTTCAGTACTGGTAGAGTCAGTAAATGAATGGATGCCTGGTCAGATGGATGAACAGACTGACACCCAGGTGGATGGAGCTCATTTCTGCTGGGGCTTCAAATGGGCCTGCGGTTCCACCGAAGTGAGACCAGTCCTCAACCTTACACCCCAGCCTTTCCTGGGGGGAAGGGCAAGGAATACATACTATAGTCACCTGCTGGCTGGTGGTATTTGAATTCTGGGGACAAGAATTGAACTCCCATTTCAACACCCCTCTGACCAAAGCAAGCATTTTATAAGGATAATTCAAAGCAAGGTCGTGCACCTTTATTGAGAACCTACTATGTTCGAAGCACGGCTGTGAAACAGTGAGAAGAAATAGCCCCAAAGTGCTTTCCAAAAGGGGTTGTGCTTTTCAGTCTGTCATGGACATGATCATCCTCATAAACATCACCATATATTCAAGCTTCTTGCTCTTTCCTCTGGTGGTTCTTACTGGGGGTCTCCGAGGCTTCGGCAGCAGTGGGAAAGGGAGCACAGGCAGTGCTCTTGGAGGACGTCCCTTCCTTGTGGGAATATATATTGGGGTTTCTTGTCCATAAATTTATCCAAGTAAACCATGCTTTGTTCTCACAGCATTCTGATCTTTTATTCCAGAAAAAAAGAAAAAAAAATAAGTATTAGAATCATCTTGAATGAGAAGAATGTATATAGGGCAACTGTTTCTTTAGTGATGAGGGAAGGGGGCCATGGATCACGTTTACATCTGTTGGCACCGACTTCCTGTTTTGCCATCACTCAGCACCAGATGGGTACAGAAGTACAGGCTCTTGGCCCGAGCCTGCCATGTCTTTAGAATGCTCAGAACCTTTGCTGGACCCAGAGCATAGGGGCTGAGTTGGCTCCATTCCTACTACATCCTTGCAAGGGACAGGATGAGCTCCTGGGAACCACGGTTCAAGGCTTCCGGCTTAGCCAGGCCTTGTCCCACACTGGTCACCACCTTGCTTAACCCCAGCATGGGTAGATGATAGAGGTGTAGGGGGATATTTAAGTGGCAAGGCAACACTGAGTGAGAAGGCCCAAGGCATGACCTGGGAATCTCTAAACAGTACCTGGGGGCACCCCAAGAAGGCAGATGCTACCTGCATCACCACAGGAACAAGGAGACCGTGAAACTCTAAGGCACTGACATGGGAGCAGGGGAGCAGGTGCGAGAGGCAGAAACCAGAAGAGGAGCTGTCTGCCTTGGCTGGTTTGGAAAATCAGGACTTGAGAGTTGTTGGAGATGCTTTGCAGCAGGCTCTGCATTTAAGCCTCCACCTCCCATAGTGTTGGCCCTAGAACCACTGAGAAGTCAGGGAGTAGTGACAAGTTTGTTCTGAGGCAATGCACTATGTAGACCCACTCGTTGATGGTGCTCAGAGGCCTGTCATGTGCACAGCACAACACCCAAGTGCTTGGCCTTTAGGCTCCCTCCTTCGGTTTCCGGAGCCTCCCTAACCCACGTTCCTCTCTTTTGTCTCTCCGCAGTCCCACCCCCTGTACCTGTGCAATGCCAGTGATGACGACAATCTGGAGCCTGGATTCATCAGCATTGTCAAGCTGGAAAGTCCCAGACGGGCCCCCCGTCCCTGCCTGTCACTGGCTAGCAAGGTAATCTCCCCACCTCACATACACCTTGAAATTTCCCCAGTTTAGATCATACAAGGTCTCTATGCATACATTCCTCTTGTCCTCAATGAGGGATGGACCTAATTCACTTCGGTTTTTCTGTTTCATGACTGAGGTGAGCACGGTGGAAATTCATGCTTCTATTCTTTAGCCCCCAATGATCCATTTTTGTTGTTTTGGGTGGAGTGGTTTGTTGTGCTCCCCCCCACTGTTGTTGTTGTTGTTGTGTGCTGTTGAGTCAGTTCCAATTAGCACAGGAGGAGATTGCCCCACCCCACCTTTTCCAGCGGAGCATCTATCTGGTGGATTCAAACCACGTGCCTTAGGGATCGCAGCGCAGCTTCTTGCCACTCGGCCACCAGATCTCCCTTAAATAGATCTCATATTATACACAGCAAAACACATACCCATTAAACCTTCTATATGTGCCCCTCGGTGGCATTGATTACGTTCTTTAAACCCTGTAGCCATTCTCAACCTCCTTTTCCAAATTTCCCCTTCCATTTACATAAATTCACCGCCCTCTTAAGAGTCCTTTCTAACCTTTTAAGTTGCTAAGGTCACTTTGATCCCAGATAGACAGCTTTTTAATAGAGCACAACCGGCAGAACATTTGGACTTTTCACCCAGGGAAGGAGGCTCATCATTCTTCCCCATCACCTGGAAGTGCCTAAGCCTCTTCCTCCACCCAGTACCTGAGCAAAGAAGGATGAGTTGGAAGCTTCCCCATCTTCCAGAAACATTGACTGAGCTCTGTGCAGGGGCAGCAGAAGCCGAAGCCACCGCCCTACCCTTAAAAAGTTCACCCTCAGAAAAAAAAAAAGGTTCACCCTCTTCCTCTGAGGTTGCAAATTGGTGGCCTGGGAACTGGGCTTCGCCAAGCCTTCACAATGATTTTCAAAATTTAAGTCAATTTCCCCATTTAAAAACAGAGACATTTAATTTAAATATCCAGATTTACAGCTTCTCCAGAAGGAAACTAAGAGGCCCTGGCAGCGTTGGCACTACATTTCCATGGGCACCGGTTGGCAGGAGCCGGGCAGCAGCTGCCACCATTAGCCAGACTTGTGCCCTCATTCACTATGCTGTCCACCCACCCACTTGTACCACTCAGGCCCTGTAAAGACTCTATTTGTCATCCCTTTAATCGGTTAGTAATAGTTACTGTTTCTGTACGCTTACCAAGTACCAGATGGAACATAGGACAGATTCTTTTAATAGATACATGGAACTTTATGAACTTTGATAAATGTCAATAGTTGTAGAGGGGCTTCAGGCCTTTTGTTTATCGGTTCGCTGTGAGTCATGCTCTACTTGAAGGCAATCTACAACTACATATGTGTATGTGTGTGTGGTGTGTGTTGTTGTTGTGTACCATCAAGTTGGAGCCAACTCATACTGACCTTCCAGACTGACCTCATACTGACCTTCCAGAGTTTTCAGAGGCAGTAAATCACACCGGAGGAGAATGCCCATCTGTCTCCCGTGGAGCAGCTGGTGGATTCAGCCTTTGGGTTGGCGGCCCACCTCCTTGCCACCAGGCCACTGGAGTGTGTGTGTGTGTGTGTGTGTGTGTGTGTGTGTGTGTGTGTATTCTTATTTACTTTTTGACAACTTTCAAGGAACTAGACATTATTATTTATTCTCCACTTGACATATGAGAAGTGGGAAGATTTAAGTAATTTACTGAGTGGCACAGCTAATGCTAATTTTTTTTTAATTTTGTTTTTATTATTTTGTGTGTGTGTGTACCGTCAAATCAGATCTGACTGGTACAGGAGGAGATTTTTCCTCCTTCTCCAGCAGAGCATCTGGTGGATTCGAACCACATACTTCTAGGATTGTAGTGCAGCTTTTTGCCACTAGGCCACCAGAGCTCGCCACAGCTAATGCTATTAAGCCCAGCCCTATTTGATTCTAAAACCCAAGTTTTAACTTGTAGTGCTGAAAATTGAATGGAAAAAAATCAGAGTGAGTGTGACACCGGGCAATAGAAGCGCCTGGAGGAGAGAGTGAGGAGAAGGGAGTGAGGGCCTCCGGGTGACTGGTGGGCAGGGGTGGTGGGTCTTGCATGGGGTCATGGTGCCCTTGCTCCCAGGGGCAATGAGAGAGAAGTGACACTCCCACCCTGTGTGTTGACTCATTGTCTTCAAGTTCAGCTCACTTGGGGATTTCCTCATCCTCCTGAGAGTTGAGGAAATGCAGCAGTGAGCCTGCAGAAGCAGCGTAGGCTCCTACCTTCCCACTCAGTGTTCTCAGGGTCCTGATCCCAGGCAGGCGGGGATGTGGGCAGGAGCCTGAGAGTAGTAGCCACAGGTGAATGAAGGTGCTCACCCAGCCCGGGCGTGCTGACGCCGACGTGAGAGGCCGGGATGGATGGCTTCTCCTTCCTGAACGGCAGTAGATTTTCTCAGCAGGAAGCTCCTCTGCTTCTGGAGAGTTCCTTTCTCTTGCTTTTCAAAATATGGGGACACAGTTTATTTCTTCATTTGGCAATTCTTCATTTGGTTCAGTGTTCGGTCTGCCCTAGTCAGTTTGTAAATTTGAGTGAGTTACTTTCAATATCTCAGTTCCACTCGCCTCGCTAAAACACTCTTCTTTCAATGAATGAATGGAAATCCAAATTCTCTGTAAATGTTCATTAAAATTATTTAAAAAAATAACTTTTTTTTAAAAAAAAGGAAGCTCATTGTACTAAGGCACGATTCCAGGCTCTGTTCACAGGATCATTAACTATAGAACCGAAGGGGATGAGGTCCCCTCCTGTAAACAGTGAGAGCCCTGGTATAAATAAATTGTTCTTTTAGAGTTTAAAAACAAAACAAAACAAAAAAACACTCTTCTTTGCTTTTGATGGCAATTCTGTCAGTTCAAGTTATCTTGTAAGAAAATGAATTGTGTGTTATAAATGGTATGTGTGAGAGTGCATGTGTGTGTGATGGGAGTTCAGAGAAGCTCTGCTGTTCCTTTAGAGCAGTGCCTGCCGTCACATACACGTATGTGAACACTTGGCACACTGTAAGGATATGTCCATATAGGGTTTCCGTCTAAAAACTCTGTGAGGCAGGGTTTGTGAACTTGTCTCAGCTCTACAGGAAGGAGTACAGTTCCCTATGCGGACCACTATATGGGGGACCCATATAGGAGACCATCCTTCTGTGGGAGAAATGAGACAGGTACACAAACACCACCAACTCAAGGACATGTGGTCAGTGCCCTTTGAGGTGCTTAGCTTGGTGGGCCCTTGCTTCCATCATCATAAAGTGGGACTTTCATTTCCTACCTCAGCAATTATTGTGGGGATGAAAATAATGCACATGAAGAGCCCGGTTGTGTATGAGCCAGAACAAAAACCCATCACGAGTTTAGAAGAAGTACATAGGCTCTGCCTTGTGACCCTCTTATCCGCCTTCATCGAACTCTTCAGAAAAGGGCTTTGCCTTCATACCCATGATTTCTCCCACCTGGGCCCCTACCTGCCTGGCTTCTGCTCCCTTGCTCTTGGACTTTCTCTAACTCCACTCTCTGGCTTCCTAGAGGCCAGGCCCAGTTGGCTTATGCTTTGACCTTACCAACTAGCTTCTGCCACAGAGAAAGAGTGAAATAATGTGAGCTACTTCCAAGGTTTTAGATGTTACACACACCTGACTAAAATACTCATCTTCTTTGCATGTGATGGGGATTCTGTCAGTTCAGGTTGTTGCCTAAGAAAATGGATTGTTTGTTATAAATATATTATGGAATGAGGACCATGGGAAATGGAGAGAAAAGGTGGAATCTTGGATGGAAAAACTTGAAAACCACTGACGTAACTATGGTGCTTGATCATATCTGTTCTGGCTTTTCCTGTGGTGTCCATGGATATTCACTGATAGCCAGGGATTTCAAGTCCTAAAGTCCTCAAGCTGTAGCCTGGCCCTTCCACTGGCGCTCAGTGTTACTGGAGACACTGACTTACTTCTCAGAACCTCCATTCCCTCTTCTGTAAAAGGGGGAATCACCCTAATGGAACTTACATCCTAAAATGGTTATGAAGATTAAATGAGGCATAAAGATGAAAGCTTTTAGTGCTATGCCCTCTTTTAATGAATGGTTGACATTGTCATGCTGTCATCTTCATCGGTGTCGTTTTTCCCCACTTGTTAACGCTCTTGATCTCTGCAGCCCACACCATAGTTCTTTCATATCCTTCAATTTTTCATCATTTCATCTAGTTTCCAAAATCAGTTGCTCTTGTTTTAATTAGCAGCTCACAGCCATCCTGTGATAAGCCAGGACTTTGGCACCTTATGCTTAGACTAGTGCAGTGGTCTTTTGCCTGGTGAAAGGAGCTGACTCCTGAGAGAAGGTGATGGATACAAGCCCTACCTCCTACCTGGAGATCACTCACCTAAACAACCCATTGTCTAAGGGCAGGAGTTCTGAAACCCAAATCGCTGGGTGGGAACCTTGCCCCCATCTGTGTGACCATGGGTAAATTATTCAGTCTCTCTGAACCTGTTTCCCCAATACAGAAATAAGGCTAAAAACTGTCTTATATAATTGATGTAAAGAATAAGTGAAGGAGTGAGTAAAGGAAAGGGGAAAGATCCAGTGTGAAAAACAATGTATATGAACTTTGTAAGTAAACCGGTATAAAACTGAAAAAAATAAGGGTAAATTAAATTATGTATGCAAAGCAGAAATAACAGCTGATATAGTAATATTTAAAGAACACTAACTTTATGCCAAGAGAGGTCTAGTGACATATTCCATAGCAAGTTGTGTTGCTCACCCAAAATCAGCATGTCTCTGTGAGTTCAAATCCGCCAGTGACTCCTTGAGAGAAAAATGAGCAGTACTCTGTTATTGTGATTTAAAGTTTCTGAAGTCCCATGGAGGGTCATTATGATTTAATCAAACAACTTAATGGTAAAGTTTGTTTATACATCAAGGACTGTCTTAAAAAGAATTTACTTAATTGATTTGTGTTGTTGAGAATATATAGAGAAAATTTTTGAGCCATTTCTATACTTTTCAGCTTCTACATGTACTTGTCAGTGATATTAATTACATTCTTTGGATTGTGCAATAATTATCATCAAATTTTGAGTTATTTCTTCCTAATAATATAAATTCTCTGACTCCCAAGGTTCCTATCTAATCAATCTTTTGAGTTGCTGTTGCCAATTTGATCCCATATAGATAGATCTTAAAAGAATATAATGTGCAAGGCAGGCATTCTTTACTGGTTATGTGGAACTGCTGTTTGGCCTTGAGAAAACTCTAGGTGATAATTTTGGTTTAAGGTTTAAAGATGATCTTAAGGGAATAATTTTGGGTTTCATCAGCCTCCTTGGCTCCAGAAAGTATGGATTCCATGTGAACGTGACATTCCGTTTATATTTCCTCTCTTTTGACCTAGATTCTTCTATTACATCTTTGATAAAAATATTTCCTAATTCTATAATAGAAGCTGGGCACCATCTAGTTCTTCTGGTCTCATGGCAAAGTAAACAAGTTACTTGGAGAATTGATTAGCTATACGTTTCATTTCCTCCTCCCATTCCTGATTCTCCCGCTTCTTCTATTGCTCCAAGTAAATTGAGATCAGTTGTACCTTAGATGGAAATTTGTGAGCTTTTAAGACTCTGTGCAGGGAACTAAAAGGAAAACAGAGGCTCTACATACAATATTAAGCCAATTAACTGGGATGTTCCATGAAACTATGACTCTAATCCTCCACATCAAGGAGCCAAATCCCATGAAATATTTGATTGTGCATAGCAAACTCAGCAGCTACTCTTTCATTGTTGCAAATATATCTATCACACAATTTATACCAATTCAAAATTTATAGGTGTATAACTTATTAACAGCAAGGCAAGCACTGTAGTTAAGCACTTTACTTGGATTAGTTTGTGTAATCTTCATAACAGTCCAATTAAATAATTTGATCCTATTCTTTTCCCCATTTTCCAAAAAAAAAGAAAACTGAGGCACAAAGTTATTAAATGACTTGCTCAAAGTCTCACAGATAATAGTTGATATAAAAATAAAAATTAAAGCCCAGTCAACTATGTAGAGTAGATCTCAATAAAAATTATATCCTTTCTCCCTTTGCTTTCAAATTTAATCACTCTCATCTCTTTTATTTACTCTTTTCTATTTCACCAGCTCAGCTAGTCCAGTAAAGTGAAAATATCTCCCTTTGGGCACACCTCCAGCAGTTAGGGTCTCTACCAATGCTTTCCACTCTTAGGCCTGGGCTTCATGGAGGTACCTCAGCAGAGGGAATCAAAGAACCTGCCTTCCTACCTCCATTCCCATATGACCTGGCCTCCCTTCCTTTTATTTTATCTGTTTTGTATATTATCTTATTTGTGTCACATTTATCTGCTTAGGGACAGAGAAGCGTGAAAGACTTTCTGAACTGGGGATGGGGGGTGGGGAGGGTCGGGAAGCAGGTTTGGAAACTACTAGTCTATTCCCTTCATTTAAATTCTCAAATATTGTCTGACCCTCTGATGGGTTTTCAGAGGCAGTTAATCGCACAGAAGGAGATTGCTCATTTTTCTCCTGAAGAGAGCAGCTGGTGTCCTTCAGGATTGCAGCACAGCTTCTTGCCACAAGGCCACCAAGCGCTCCAAAATATTGTTATCATCATTAAAATCTTAAGTGTAAACCTTGTCTCCACAACTAGATTATGAGCTGTTCAAGGCACCTGGCCATCTCTGGCTTGGTGCCCTGGGTACAATAGGTGCTAAATAAATCTTTAATGAGCTGGAGATCTATAGAGACTATCATTGTGGTCTGGTCAGAGGAATGATTTTAATTCATTTCCCCTACTGTCATGTTGCCAGAGACTTTGTTTGCTGCCCCTAGAGGGCTGGCTGACTCTTTGCAGCTCCTAAAAAGAAATTTCTTTATCTTCTTTCTAAAATATGTCTTCCCTTCCTGAGAGCCTGCCCACCACCGATCTGCCTTTGTGTCTCAGAGATTACAGCTCCCAGAGAAGTGATTCTTCCTCTCCCTCTCTACCACCTCTTTGCAATGTCAGAGGGCAGGAGATATGGAAGACCCTAGATTAAATTACCATCTCTTCTCAAATCTTACTTTTTGTTCCTAGAATCCTGGCTGCAGAAGTACACTGCCTGAAAATCCTGTTTGTTTTCCCCAGTTAGCTAACTCCCTGGGCCCTTTGATCACTTTTACAACTTTATAATTATGGGCTGTAATGGGCTGGGGTGTTTGAAAGTCACAGTAATTACTTTCCACTGTTCCTACCCCAATCCTTCAAAGAGACAAGGGTGGAGGAGTAAGAAACTACAGAAATGGGAGGTTTTGCCCTCTTCTCTTGCTCTTCTGGGCTAGGCTAGATCCAGGACCTTGCTCTGGGGATCTGGAGGACCTGGGAATCCCAATTCAGTGGCCACTGGATTGACCTCTCCCACATTTCCAGCCAAGTTCCTGAACGATAGGAGGACACCCCCCCCTTTTCTCTACATTTGCTCCTGTGCCCCTACTTGGAGGACCCTGAAGATTGGTGGGATGCCTGGGATGACCTAGTGGGAGATTTCTTGGGAGGAAGTGGTGGTGGGGAGGACAGAAGCTGTGACCTCTATCTTTTCAGCTCCATTCTGCATTCTGAGTTTCCAATCCATTAGGTTGGTGAGATGGGGCCTAGGAGGTAGGAGAAGACCCAGACTCCCAAAGAAGGAGTAAGGGAAAAGGGAAGTTACTTTCCTGACCAAAATGGGGCCCTAGTGGAAGATCTCTATCACCCTTCTGGGGCTCCCCTGCCATGGGGGCAGTGGGTTCTGAGGGGCCCCCTGGCCACCGCCTGCCCCAGGGAGTGGCAGCCGCTCCCCACTCCCTGATCTGCCCAGACAGGCTCTCCCTGGGACGCAGAGATCAAAGCACTGAGAGTGAGTAAGCCTGCATTGGCTCCTCTTCCTGCCACCACTACCAGCAGCAGGATTAACTCCTTCACTGCCTGCAGAAAGGCCCAGAGACTCAGCAGGGGCCTTGAGGGACAGAGGTCCCTTCACCAGATGAGCCATATAGGAGGAAGGCTCGAGGGATGGGTGAGAGTGCCCCACACTGCAGGGGCAGCTCCCTCACTTGTCCGTTGGTTTTTGCCCATGGGCCTCCTCCCCACCCTCAGCTCTTAGCTCCCTTTTCTTAACTCCACACACATGTCCCTAGATTCCCGTTTGTTTCTTGTTTTCTCCTCACTCTGCTATCTGCTATTCTGCCTGCTTGGCTTCTTTGACTTCCCAAGCCTGCTTAGTTCTCTACTTGGGGTCCTGGGCCAATAGCTCCTTCTGGTAGGCAGGACTGCTACCCATAGGCCCCTGATCCACAATTGTTCCTAGTGGAAACAGTATTTCTAGTCCCTCACCACCCATGTCTTGAATGTCCCTCTAAGTGATGAATACCCCACCCTCAAGAGAAGAAGGTGCACTGGGCAGGGACTTTAAAGTTTCCAGAGAAGGAGCTGGCAAGTTGGATTACGTAGGGGGACATTGTTGAGATGGGCTGCGGCTGTGGCTGGGCTTGGCCATGTGGGTTTTATTGAGAGCAATGTCTAGGCTCTTGGATCTTAGCCTGACCTGGGCACATAACAACACCACAGGGACTCTTGTCAGGCAGGGCTGCCTGTGGAAAGCTCAGCTCTGTTCCTCCTCTCCCTCTCTGTCTCAGGAACCGGTCATTCTCTGCCCTTTCCTCCTCATCTCTCTGCCAAAGTAGGCTGAGAGAAGAACCTTGAGGGAAGGAGCCTGCTCTTACTTTCTTTGACCCTCTTGTCTAGTCCATACTGTGGTGCCTAGTAAAGTCTTGTTAAGGGTTTGCTCCATTACAAAATGAAGGACCAGTGTTATCTTTGGAAGGCAGTGGGGACCTTGATGAGCTCAGGGGCAGAACGAAAGGATCTGGGCTTCACCAACCCCTTACATGCATATATGTGAATGTGTGAGAGTTCCCTGGAAGGGGTTCGGGGGACAGAGTGAGGTTGGGCCGTGGGTGAGTTGTCTTCTTCCCTGTCCCCAGTTAGACCTCTGCTGTGTCCCTTGCAGGCACGGATGGCCGGTGAGCGAGGAGCCAGTGCTGTCCTCTTTGACATCACAGAGGACCGAGCTGCTGCTGAACAGGTACCCAGGGGCCTTAGGTGTTCGAGGAGGGGGCAGGATCGAGGAAGGTGATGATAATGGAAGGAGAAGTCAGAATGTAGCAGGCTCTCTGGACACTGGTCCTTTTGCAGCTGCAGCAGCCCCTGGGGCTGACTTGGCCTGTGGTGTTGATCTGGGGCAAGGACGCTGAGAAACTGATGGAGTTTGTGTACAAGAACCGAAAGGCCCATGTGAGGATCGAGCTGAAGGAGCCCCCCGCCTGGGTAAGCACGGCAGATCCCCCACACACACACCCACACACACGCCTCCCACCTGAACCTGCAAGTGATGCCTGGAAGCGATGGAGACCTTAGAACCTCTTTTGTTTCAGAGGGAGACAGAGAACTGCTTCAGAAATCCAGCTATGTGCCTCAAAATAGAACGTGCTAGATGAGTCCTAAAATTTTTTCAGCTTCATGACCTCCTGGCATGATGGAGCAGAGACAGAATGAAACCCTGACCCCAGCTGGTGCTTCTCCACTGGTCTGGCTGTACAGTGACCAGCTCCCCGGAGCAAAGGGTGTGGGCCCTTCTCCCTTTTCTCCAAGCACCTGGTTTTCAGCTAATACTTCTCACATAGCTGACATTCAGAAAACCCTCTCCTATGAGTGGTCCCAAGCCCAGAAGGGTCGCACCACCCACCCAGTTTCCTCCCTGCCCCAGGGCCCTGGTTAGAAGACCCAGGAGATCTCTAGCTTCCTGTGTCTCCTGGGCTCCTGTGTTTCCTCCTGAATCAGCCCAGCTCCCTCCAGAGCTCCAACTCTTCCCCCTCTCTGCTTGTTCCCTCCAGCCAGACTATGATGTGTGGATACTCCTCACCGTGGTGGGCACCATCTTCGTGATCATCCTGGCCTCAGTGCTGCGCATCCGGTGCCGCCCGCGACAAAGCAGGCCGGTGAGCAGTGGGGCTTCCTGGTGGAGATCAGAGCTCCTTATAATAATACATCAAGTTCCTATTATTTGCTGTTCTGGGTATTGGACCTTGTTCTAGGTGTTGGGATTATAGCAGTTATTATTAAAAGAGGAGGGGGGAAATCCTTACCTTCAAAGAGCTTTTATTCTAGTAGGATATATCTAGTACGACATATCCCCCTAAAGCCCACTACTATTGATTCTGACTCATAGTGACCCTCTATTGGGTTTCTGAGACTGCAAATTTTTTATGGGAGGACACTGCCTATCTCTCAACTTCTGAGCTTCTGGTAGATTTGAACCTCTAACCTTTTCAGCCAACAGTACTGCTTATAATGCATCATACCACTAAAATGCCTTAGTAGGATGATATAGACAATAAAATATGTAGTCTTTTAGATAGTGGCAAGTGCTAGGGAGAGAAATAAACTGGGAAAGATGAAAGGAAGTGTAAAATAGGAGAAGGAGTGATCTATGCAAATCCCTTGAGAGAGTCAGATCAAGAGGAATGTAAGTAAAAAAAGAAAAGGGGGGGGGTGAAGACCATAAGTGCAAAGGCCTTGAGGCAGGGGTGTGTGCACTGTGTATCTAAGAAGCTGCAAGAATTGATGTGATTTGGAGAGTGAAGGTCAGAGAGAGTAGGAGACGAGGACAGGGAGTTTGTAGGGACAAGTTGTGTTGGACTCTTTGGGCCATTGTCAGGATGAAATGGGAGCCACTAAAGAGTTTTTTTAAGTAGAAGGAATGATACTACCTGACTTGAATTTGGTATGACCACTTTTGCGTTTGTGATGAGCATGGGCTGCAAGGAAGAAAAGAAACCAGATAGGAGGCTAATACAGAAATCTAAGTAACAGTAATAGTAGCTTGGATTGAAGTCGTAACAACAAAAATAGTGAGAAATATTTAGATTATAGTTAATATTTTGAAAAATATTTACTAATGGATTGATCATGGGGTATGAGAGAAGGGAGTGGAGGATGAGATTAAGATTTTTGGTCTGAGGAACTAAAAGAACAGAATTGCCAGTCATTAGATTGAAGAAGACTGGGAAGGACAGATGTGTGATTGGGGTGGTTAATGGAATCAGGAGTTCAGTATTGGACATAGAACGTTTTACCTACCTATTTGACACCCAAGTAGGCAAAAAGTTTCTCTCATCAGTCATCAAGAACAGGAAAACTTAATGATATGAGCTGGGATGGATTAGGAGGGCTCAGCTACTTGTCAAGAGCCTTGTAGTGCTTCAGAGAGGGACAGTTAATCACCCTAAGCTCTAATGGAGTGACTAGGAACCAAATACAAGCTGGGCTACAGGGCCAGTAGAATGGAAGGTCTTCCCCCACACTAAGCCCTCTCTTTCTTCTCAGGAGCCTCTTCAGCAGCGAACAGCCTGGGCTATCAGTCAGCTGGCCACCAGGCAGTACAAGGCCAGTTGCAAAAGAGCCCGGGCTGAGTGGCCAGATTCAGGCAGCAGCTGCAGCTCAGCCCCCATGTGTGCCATCTGCCTGGAGGAGTTCTCGGAGGGGCAGGTAAGGCAGGGCTTTCAGCTCATCTTCATGACCACTCGAGAAGGTGAATGCCCGTTGGGAAGGAGGCACTCCAAGCTGATGTCCTAGCCATCTCTGGTATCATATGGATCCTGTAACCTCTGTGTCCTATGCATGGGGCAGAGGTAAGGGAGAGCCTCCAAGACTTGATAATTGTCCTAGCCTTCTAAAGAAAGAGAACTGTTATTTGTTAAGAATGTGCTGTGGGCAGCCTCTGTAGTGGGTGCCTTTGATGCATTATCTCATGTTAGCCACATGACAGTGAGGGGTGGAGAAGGTTCGGGTTTTTTATCCTTGTTTTACAGGCAGAAAACTGGCAGTTAAGAAACTTATCCAAGGTCAATATAGCTAACTGGCAAAATTTAGTCCCACCTAACACCAAAGCTCATGCCTTTTCTATTCTACTGTGAGGGCTTCTTCAAGTGGGTTATTGCAAGAGGGGGAGGCCAAAGGCAGCAGGGGGATGTGCTGGTTCTTGGCTGTCCCTGGAGACACACAACCCTTGGCTGGACCTCTTTGTCTTCCCAGGAGCTACGGGTCATTTCCTGTCTCCATGAGTTCCACCGCACCTGTGTGGACCCCTGGCTACATCAGCACCGGACGTGCCCTCTCTGCATGTTCAACATCGTAGGTAGGAGGTGGCCCAAAGACAAAACTCCCCAATGGGCAGGCAGATGGGAATGGGCTTCAGCCTCAAAGCTGAGGAGAAAGCAGAGCTGCCACTACAGTTGTTAAAGTTGTGCACTGCTCAAGAGTGCCTCTTCTGAGAGGGTGAACAGACATCCTTACTGTTTTTGGTTTTTTAATTATTTGTGTTTTTATGACCACTTGGCTGATTTTCAAATTTAGGGCATTTGCGTATTTATCATTCCAATTTTCTGACTGAATAATATCCTATTTTAATAAAAGCATAATTTCCGGGGAGCTCTGGTGGCCTAGTGGCAAGAAGCTGCACTGCAATCCCAGAGGAACACGGTTCGAATCCACCAGATGCTTCGCCGGAGAAGGAGGCGCAATATCCTCCTGTACCAGTCAGATCTGATTTGACAGTACACGCACACAAAATAATAAAAAAAAAAAGCACAATTTCCTGAAAGGTTAAAGTGAAGTATCTTAAGAGAACCTTTTTCTAATTCAGCCAGAGTCACAGCTGGGCCAAACACATGATTTAGGTAAAAGAGCACAGGTGATGGATGGGAGCAGAAATTGGCACATAACAGTGGGACTTCCAGGACAGATAAACTTGGCTGGATGGAGGGAAGGGTTCCCAGGGCACATGCAAGTTAGAGGTGTCCTTGGTCCCCTAACCTCTGACCTCTTAAGTTGTCGTTTCTGGACCATTTGTCATTAATTGAGCTCCCCGGTAGGCTTTCCAAGACATTAAGTAGCACTGGAGATTGTTTGCTTTCTCTTGATAGGCAGCTGGTTGATTTGAACTGTAAGCCTTTGGGTTTGTAGTACAACTCCTTACCACTAGGCCACCAGCCCTCACAGGCTATACAGGGTCAAATAGACTACCTGTAGCCATGCCTTTCGAATGCCTCCTCCTTAAGTTGATGGAATCAGACACCTATGCTCTTGATTCTTTTTCCAGAGGGTGATTCCTTTTCCCAGTCCTTGGGATCCTCCCGACCTTACCAGGAACCAGGCCGGAGACTCCACCTCATTCGCCAGCATCCTGGACATGCCCACTATCACTTCCCTGCTGCCTACCTGCTAAGCCCTTCTCAGAATTCAGTGACTCGGTCCCCACGACCTGGTCCCTTCCTACCATCGCAAGAGCGACACCACCGCCTCCCCAGAGCGGCACATGCCCGGCCTCCCAGTGAGCAGCAGCGCCTGGCAGGGGCCCAGCTCCCTTACATGCAGGGCTTGGGGCTGAAACGGCTCAGATGTGCCTCACAGCACCCGGCCACTTGCCCGGTGCCCCCACGCCGGGCCAGGGCTCACGACAGCAGCGGCTCTGGGGAAAGCTACAGCACAGAACGCAGTGGCTATCTGGCAGATGGGCCAGCCAGTGACTCCAGTTCAGGGCCCTGTCATGGCTCCTCCAGTGACTCAGTGGTCAACTGCACAGACATCAGCCTGCAGGGCATCCACGGCAGCAGCTCCACCTTCCGCAGCTCCCTGAGCAGTGACTTTGACCCCTTGGTCTACTGCAGCCCTGAAGGGGAGCCCCGGAGGGAGGAGACACATATTAACATGACCTCTCGTCCTCGGTCCCTGGACTCAGTGGTGCCCGCAGGGGAAACCCAGGTCTCCAGTCACATCCACTACCACCGCCACCGGCACCACCACTACAAGAAGCGGTTCCAGTGGCATGGCAGGAAGTCTGTCCCAGAAACTGCTGCCCCCCAGTCCAGGACGGGTGTTGCTCAGACACAGCTCCAGCCAGAGCCTGATGAGCAGGCCACCAGCTCCAACTCATCTGCTCCTGCAGGCCAGCTCCCCAGCGCACAGCGGCCTAAGGCCATCACAGAGCCCGCACCTGGCCCAGCTGAAGCTTCTAGCTCCAACCCCATTCCCAGTAGCCTTTTCAACTTGCATAAATCCAGCCTGCCTGCCCGACATCCACAGAGGAAACGGCGGGGGGTCCCCTCAGAGCTCACCCCAGTCTCTCGGCCCCAGGACTTGACTGGGCACCCAGCTTGTCCTGTGTTTCCCCACTTTGGCCCTGGCCTGGCGTACCCTTGGTCTCCCGAGGCCCATTCACTGATCTTTGGACCTTCAGGCCTGGACAGGAGGCTTCTACCAGAAACCTCAGGCCACTGTTACTCAAGTTCACAGCCAGTATGGTTCTGTCTGACGCCACAGCAGCCCCTGGGGCCACAGTCAACTGAGGAGGGGCCTTCTGAGTGGAGTTTTGGTACCACGGAGAGCAGGTCATGTCCTTATCCACACTGCCAGGTGCTGCCAGCTCAGCCTGGTGAGTTTTCACAGAAAGTATGTGTTGGGAAGGGTTTAGGGGAAAGGACACTAAGAGAAGATGGCCAGATAAAGTCAGCCAGCAAGGAGCTGACAGAAGTTGAGGCATATATGAAAGGTTGCACTCATGTTATTGGATCAGCTCACACAACACCTGATGGTGGCTGGAGGGGCTCCGCTCTGCCAAGTGTTACCGTTTTATTTGTCAGATTACATAGAGGTCTCAGAGGAGGCACTTGTGTGGCTGAGGCTTCGGAGGACAACTTGGGATGCTTAGCTCAAATACAAGCATCTCAGCATTTTGACCGTATGTGGGCACTTAGCTATACAAGTGTGGACAGCTCAATATTATCTCCAAATAGGAAGAAGGCCAAGAAGTATCCTTTGCTCTTAAGGAGAGCATTATTATATAGGAGAAATCATTGCAGATAATCATATTAGGGTGCACGAGATGAGCTAAGTGAATTATGCAAAGAGAGAGAGAGGTTGATGTTCATAGGTGGTTCCCAGGAACCTTGCACATGCTTGGATCCTCTCCTTTTCCTCTTGGATAGGGACAGGAATCATTCTTTCTCAGAGATTCTTATCAACAGTGTCAATTTTGTTTTCTTGAGAGCCCTGTGCATCCCTATTGCTATATTACAACCAATGTTGATAATTTAAATTTTCAGCCTTTGAATTTATCTTTCCCTCCCAGAGCCTTCCGTCTCCTGCTCCTTTCCTATCTTCTCTCATCATGTGGATGATACAGCTTTCAGCCGATGGGCCTTGCAAGGAAGATTTCTCCAGCCCAAAAGGGTGTGCAAAGTTCTGAAATGCAAGACCTCTTGGTCTAGGGATCCTACGGGCTGAACTTGAGAGATGCTATCATGCATTCATTTCCCAGCCCCCCCGACCCCGCTTTCTTCCTTTCTACATTTATTGTTTTTATCGCGTGCTCTCTGTATGTTAGGCTTTGAGTCTGCAGCGGAAAATACATGGAATGTATCAACCAGATCCAAATCCATGGGGAAAGGTTAATTGCTTTTCTAGAGCCATGTGTCTGCAAGCTTTGGTCATGTGTTTGATGATTCCAGTTGGACCCTGTTTTATCTACCAGGTCTAGACTACATCTCCCCTCTCGCTAAGCTCCTGACTAGTTTTAATGCTTCTTCCCTCCCCCCAACCCGATCCTTCTATCCAGTCGGGGCCAGGTCCTGTTAACTATCTCTCTGCTTATGTGTCCCATAGTCTTCTTCAGTGCAGCATTCATGGTCTCTGCCAATACCTTAGAAGCATCATAAAGACTCAGATAACAACGTCCTAGCTCTTTCCCTCCCTTTAGTAGAGCATGAAGCCTGGGGACTACACATCAGGTTTTGTGACTGGAATGTTTATACAATAAAACTGTTTTACTTCCCTGCTCTCTGTACTGTTGCCAGCATCCTCTTCCTCACACAAGAAATGATCCAAAAAACTTCAACTGTTCTGTTCCTGGTTTGACCTTTCAAAAGCCCCAGCACCAATTAGCCCCAACTTTCCTTCCCAACCTTACTTACTCTTATTCCCCTTCCCTTATTTCTACCCTGTGCTTTAGCCAAACTGGGCACACTCTTCTGGCAGTTCCTGCAACTCAGCATATCCCACTGCCTTTCTAGAGTCCCATAAACCCAATTCTGACCTAATCCTGCAGTCCCAATGCATTTATCCCCAACCCCAGGAAGTCTTTCCAGATCTCTCCCATTTCTCAATGTATCTCTTCGGGCCCTGAACCTATCTCCCTGGAATTATGTATATGGGATATCTTCTGTCCTACAAGGTTGTTACCACTGTGCTGCTTCTTTTTGAACTTCTCTTTGTCACATGGAATGGGCTCAGTGGGAATAACATTTTTAAGGGATGGAGATGGGGTAGCAGACCAGATTCCTAATAAAGTTCAATAGATATTTATTCAGTGAGTACAGAATAAGTATTAGGAACACACTGGTTATATATACTTTGCTTTCTTTAGGTTTGTTTACTCATCCTTCCACTCATCATGGTCCCTACCAGCCATACTCCCCTGCAGGTGGGAGCATCAGGAGCCTGACCAGACCCCTCAATGTCCTCTTTCCTTCTCTCTCCCTGAATGCAGGCTCAGAGGAGGAGCTTGAGGAGCTGTGCGAACAGGCCGTGTGAGATGTTCCAATTTGGCGCCAATCAAAACTTTGTTCCAGGCGACTCAGGGCCCAACCAGGAATCTTGCTCTTGGAGAAGAAAGGACCTCACCAAACACCCCTCATTATGTCATACTTCCTGGAACCAGTGGAAGAGCAGTGGTTATGGTGGGTGGTGGGAGGTGATTTGGAGTGATGGTTTCTCCCTTTGTGCGAAGAACATATCTCTAGAGCAGCAAGTCTGAGTCTAGCCAGGCAAGCAGCTACTGCATATGTGTGGGCTGGCTGCCTGGAAGGGTATTTTTGTTTGAGAACAGGAAGCTAAGGTGTTACAAAGGTGCTGCTCCCTCCCCCAGCCTTGCTGGGTCTATTGTTCCAGCCTCCTGTTCATAAGAACTAATGGGCTTTGTGACTGAGTGACCATGTCTCACCTCTTTGAGCCCTGAGCGCCACCCTTATCCTCTGTAGGAAGGCAGTTCTAGGGTAATTACATCAGGGACAGCTCCAGCTCCTTTTTTTTTTTTTAAATTCTCTGAAAAAGGGCCAGGTGCACAGGTGAGCCCTGAGTCCTGAAAAGGAGAGGGTCTCTGAAAAAGAGAGGGTCTCTGCAGCTTTTCCAGGCAGTGCATCTCTTAGTTCTTAGAGGGAATTCTCTTCTCCTTGTGTCTAAATCATTAGACTCACTGTATTAAATCAGAGGAACACCAGGGCATACAGTTCTCTCCCCGAGGTGGGTCAGCATCTTGAGGAACCAGGAATGAAGGCTTCGATCTTCAAATGTTCTGGTTGCCCTTCCATTTCCAGTTCACCTGGAGGCTACAGGTGGGGTTCGGATGGAAAGGGAATGACCGTCTGTGGAGATCTATCTCAAAGTCACAGAGCAAGTAGACAGTAGAACATTTTTTTAAGGATTTCATCTGCAAAGATAGAGGGTGGGAAAAGGTAGGAAAGACAGACATTTGAGCAGAAAAGATGAGAGCAGGGACAGGGAGCAGGGAAGAACAAAGGAAAAGTGAGATGTAGCCCTCAGGGATGGAAGGCCCCGAGCCTTAGCTCCCTAGTGTACGCCATATAGATAGGGACCCGCAGGGTGCATGCTAGAGTAGAGTTGGAGCCAGAAGTCTGGCCTGGGCAGCTGGTACCTGAGTGGGCAAGGACTGAGAAGCCTCCCTAGGGTGACACTCACTCCAGGGCAGCCTGATCACTACTGGCCCCTCAGGTGTTATCCCATTTGGAATGTGAATGTGGGGGCATAGTGGGCACAGGGCCCCCACCTGGGAACTTTCTTTCCTCCAAGTCAGTGGAGAGACTAGCACCTAGGCACCCACATGGGTATTTATATCTGAACCAGACAGAAAGACGCTTGAATCAGGCACTATGTTGAGAAATGTATTTATTTGCTAATATATTTATCCACAAATACAACCGTGTCTTGTGGTTTTATTTTGTCAACAGCTGTCTTTCAGGGTAACAATTTAATCTCCTACAGAAGGACAGACTATATGGACAGAAATATTTTCATTTTGGTATCAGAAGCTAAACTCTGATTTACAAAAGAATAAGGTGGAGTGGCAGGCTTGACAAATGACATGGCATAGCCTGGTTTAGTGAGACAAGGGAGGGATGCCTTCGTGGTGCTTCAGTTGTTGTCTTTACTAATATATTATTTACAATTCTTGGTGACTTCCTTTGTGACCTTGGGCAAGAACTCTATGTCTCTGCATAAAATGAGTCTACTCCAAGGGGCTCTGCTGGCCTGGTGGATAGACAGTTGTGTTGCCAGCCCCAAGACAGTAAGTTTGAATTTACTAGCTGCTCCGTGGGACCAAGATGGGCAATCTCCTCCCATGTGATTTACAATCTCTGAAAAGCAGTGGGTCAGGGTGAGGTTTGATAGCATTGAGTTTGCGGTTTGGTGTGATTTTATTTTTGAGAAAAGTTATTGCAAGCCTCACATGGGATACCAGAGTGAAAATATCAGTGAATTAGCTGTAAACCTGACCCCGAGCAGCTTGAGTCGCTTTGTTGGAAGGATACAACCCAACGACGTGAAATTCCTTGTCACCTAAAGCTCCAATTCAGATAAACATGCAGTTGACTGTGGTTCTGCCCACGCACAGGACTACTCTGAGGATCCAAAAACTGCCACTAGATCAAGCGGGAGAGGCCTTTGCTCCCCCACAAAGCGTATTTCCCTCTGGCTTCAAGGGAAAAGGTTTGGTAGTTTGCTAGAGGAAGTATTTATCTGGTGCCCCATTTTGAGTCAGAAAGCCTCCAAAGGGAAGTGGGGTTGGGTGTATTAAGACACTTAAATTCCTGCAGCTTTTGAAGCAAATGACCTGTGTCTGAATGCTAGAACGCGCAAAGAATTTATCAGCTGAAACGGGTGAATGTAGATAAAGAGCCTTAAAATCATTAAATATGCATTCCGCCTCCCACCCCACGCCCAGTCGATCGCTCGCGGGGCCCGAATGCCCGTGAAGGGCAAACGGAAACCCTATAGGGCTCCAGCAGTTGGGCAGCAGGGGTGGGGGCGCCCGAGGATTTGTTTTCGGTCTCTGTGGCGATAATCCGGCGGGAGACAGTGGGCTCTCTGCCCTGGCGCTTTTGAAATGGGAAGACAAAAAGAATCTCGGTTATCATCTGGGATCCTTGCAAGCGGACCGGCGGCCTGGTGCCAGCGGCCTAGATCAAATGGCCCGCGCCGGCGGGACCTCGCGCAGGCGCCAGCCGCGCCGCCCCTCCCCCACAAGGCCCCGCCACCCCGCCCAA